TTATCGCGTTAGAAACTTACACATGATGACGTAATCGTAATCGTTTCCATTGTTAACGAGTATGTGAATGCATCGTATTATAGTATGTAATTTTATATACTATACTATACATGTATATACGCGTGTCCCCCCCCTCCCCAAAAAAAATTATCCTTTTATTTATGGAGTTCTTTCAAAATTACTATTTTATTTACCACCTTTCGCCTTAATTATCGCGTTAGAAACTTACACATGATGACGTAATCGTAATCGTTTCCATTGTTAACGGGTATATGAATGCATCGTATTATAGTATGTAATTTTATATACTATACTATACATGTATATACGCCTGTCCCCCCCCAAAAAAAAATTATCCTTTTATTTATGGAGTTATAATAAAATTGAAATTGGTATTATTTTTTTACTCGGGACTTTGTGGAGCGCCAAACAAATTCAAGTTATTAACAAAGATATCTTGATAATTAATTTTGGTAAAACTGCATAAAAGGTAACATACCTTCACTTGAATGTTATAGGAGAGGTTTTTCTGAGTAATTCCCCGCAAGAAATAAGTGGGGGACGGCATTGGTTTAGGAGATATAACAAATTGAAATTTCACAGTTTTAATGCTTTTTCTCAGGTATTATAAAGTAATATTAGGAAAAGTGAAGGTTGTGTACGTTGTATTTGTTGTAGAGCAGACGAAAAAGTGTTTGTTTACATTTACGGAATAGATACATGGTCATAAATATTTTGTCAATAATGTGTTTCACCTATTTCTCGCAGTTCGTTAACAGCTTTCAACACGCGACTACATGAATTTCTGAGTCATGTCTTCAAAAATATTATTTATTGAATGCGTAGGAGGGGGAAGGGGTGGAGCCCCTCTACTAACCCAAACCTATTTCTGATTTAAAATTAAAATTTACTATTAACTTATTCCTTCAACAAGACTTAAAAATTCGTATAGTCGCATGTTGAAAGCTTTTAACAAAGCTATTAACAAACGAGAAATAGGTGAAACACATTATTGACAAAGTATCCATGAGTGTATACCTATCCCGTAAATGTAAACATACATTTTCTCCACGTCTGCTCTACACAAATACAACGTAAGCAAACTTCATTTTTCCTTATTTTATAATAGAAACTAATGCCGTCCCCCACAAATTCCTTGCGGGGAATTGCTCAGAAGAACCTTCTCTACAACATATTTAAGTGGCGATAAAATCGATGTTACCTTTTATGCAGTTTTACCTTAATTTTTAATTCATAAATATTTGCTTTCTCCTTCCTCTTCGAATTACATAAACGAGATAATTTTGCAATCAATTTGTAAATGTAATCATTTATTAATTGAATGATTCCTTTCATAAAAATTGCAGTTTCAGCAAAATCTAAAAAATCCGATCTTGAATATCTACAAGATTTGTACTCAGGAAATAAAATTAAATTTCTATTAAGATAAAGTTTAGTTAAAGTTTTAAAGAATAAGATTTATTGTTATCTGCTTTTTCTCAAACTTTAATCTATCAAAACTATAAATTTAAATTCTTATTAAGAACATCATTTCTTTTTTATATTTTTTTTTTATTTATCCTCTAACATCTGCGCTTGAAACAACATTTAGTTCTTGGATATCCTGCGCAATTCACCTCCGCTATTGTTAGTTTGAAAGCTCAATTCACACACAAACATTCTTTCCATTCGGAAATTGAAGCGTTCAAGATCGGATTTTTCGAACAAACATTCGCCGTTTGCCGTTCAACAGAGGTGCTTGCTTAGGGAGTCGGATAAAGTGTATATAAATCCCCCTCGCAAGTTACGCCCGTGAGACTAAAACACCGAGCTGACCCTGAGTTTTGTTTCTCTTCCTCGTGCGGCTCCTCTTCTTTTGTCGGATTTTTAGACGGCGCTAAGCTCGAGATAAATTGTGGAAATGTATGCAACGCATCCTGATTATCATGCACCAGCACTGCAACTATATCGCGCTTCGTCGATCAAATCCAGTATCGTTTTGTGTAAATTACGCCGCCGTGAAATGGACGATTTTTAAAATCTCGATATTCTTTTTTTTTCATTCGCGGATTTACTTGTTTTCTCGTTAATTAAAAGTGTTAGATTATACATGTAAGTTTGAGCAAATTAGTTAATTTGCGATTATCTATTAAATATGGTGATATTATTACATACAACCTTGCGATATTAGATATATAATGCCGTGATATTTTTAAAATTCGTGTTAAATATTCTTTCGCCCTGTTTCATAATCTTGTTGCCGACAACATGTGCCAACAATGCCAAAATGATTTCGTGTAACGACAGTTTGCGATGCGCGCATAAATTTCTTACATTCTTAACTGCCCTATGAGCCATCCTGGACAAGTACTTAGCGTCGAGCAATCGTTAGGCATTCAGGTACTTTGTTTCTCTTCGAGCGGAAACTTTTCCGGCCGCTGTAGTGATAGGATTGAAAGATATTAACGAAAACTTGGAAGTTTGTGGGAAAGTTTATAATGGCGCGGTATCGAGTGCAATACAGTGTCAGGCTAAATTGTAACTTCCATTACATGGGATTACATTAAGTTACATCAAAAGTGTCGTGCAACTTCCTTGATACAATGTATTACTTATCAGTGGATAAAGTGGAAGCGAGAGATGACATATATTACTTGCCGTATTACTGCTTCATTAAATTATTATTCGGAAAATAGCGCACGTGCCTCACTCATCGGCAAAAGTTTATGGGAATATATAAAGATAATATTTTTATTTTTATTATCAAAGAAAATCATATGTGTAAAATTGCGTCGCGTTGACAATTTGATTCAAGATCGCGTTATCGTAATTTAATATATGTATGTATAATTAACATTCCTGTCAACGATGAATCGCCATCTCTCAATCTCGCGATAATCCCTCGATCGGATAGCGCCGTTAATCTATATATACTAATGTATCCCTTGGGATCGTTAATTAGCCCTTTACGATTCGGTCATTAAATTCCATGCGTCGTTATCGCGGAGTCGCCAATATAACGTCGAGATCCACATGTGCGGTTTCTCACGATTTCATATTATAAATTGGAGCCGGTAGCACGATATTTCCTCGCTCCATAGCTAATTAACACGATTTTCCACAATAACGAAACCTCGGCCTCAAAACGCATATTATATGCCCGAACATATCGCGCGCATACATTTCCTCACACGCGGTCAGAAACAAATGACAATGGCAACGGGTAACGAAGTTATCCATAAAAGAGGGAAACACACGATCAACAAAATCCAATGCCTGGTACTCCGCCAACACGGTTTCGTTCCGTCGAGATTAATTAATCGGACATACTTTTTGGGGTAAAGCCCCGTTTCTCGTTAGTCTTCATTAGCCACACAACAACGACGACAATGCCGCTATCCCCCCGACGTGCCGACGAAATAAACGCGCATTAGCGGCAACGTTCGACCGATTTTTTCCGATGGATTGGTTTTACAGAGCCTATTTTTTCTCCGGCGTCCCGTTTCCTCGCACGCGAATTCGATTAAACGGACGCGCGTTAATCGACGTTGAAAGAGAAACGTCGCTCTCGGGTGATCGCGATCTAGGCCAAATGACAGAACACACGAAAGCGACGAAACCATATTTGATATCTCGTTCGCGAAACGAACGGACGAGCGTGGCAAGATCACGTACGACAGGAGACACATGGTTTGACGATTAATATTGACAAACGCCGTGCTGAAAATTCAATTCTCCGCACGAATTAATTAACTCCATTTTCCCCGAGACCTCGGCGAAACGCCCCATTTTTCCTCTCCATCATCCCCCGCCTTGCATTATCCTCCCCGCGTTCTCCGCTCCGCGATAACGTGCGAAAGTAGCGAGAAGCACGAGAACCTTAATGATATGGCGGTATCGATTTTCGATTGGCGAGGGAGAACGACATCCTCAAAACCTTCGACGATGACGCCGATGCCACCATCCATTGACTCTCTCGTCAACAGCGTTCTCCGTAACGAGAACATTAATATCGATACCACCTACACTTGATTTTCGCGAGCATAATTGTAATATTAATTTTATCGGGTTGTCTCGCACATCGTCTAATATTCGACATTCGCCGATTATTCAGTTTGCGTGATAGTATAAAAGACATTTTTACTAGCACGTTTCATGGAAGAATAGGAATATCCTTTCTCGTGATCTCGCGATGGATATTCCTCTTACTACCATGTGGCGTTCGAAAACTTATAATAAGCTGCTTTGGTAGATAAATATGTCATTAAAATTCGCGCGCAGATTTCCTGAGCCGACTACGAATATATCTGCCTTTATCCTTTAACGCCGTTTAAGTGGCCGCTTGGAATTATTCTTGAGGGATTAACACGAGCGAGTGTAGGCAATGCTCGCGGTACCCTTCCTCTTCCCTCTTTACCTTTTCCGTTCTTCATCGTTCCCCTTTCCCTCAATCCCGGGTCGTGCTTAAAGGGATTCTCGTAAAAGCGGTCCTAAGCGGTTTGCATTTTCATGAATAACATTCGTGAGTACCCCGCTTTATCACCCTCCTTCACCTTCGTGATTCTCGTTTTGTTGCTCGGAAGATGCGGTCGAATATTATGATTTTGATAAATGGTGACAGCGCACCAAGCTAAAGTGCACCGAAAAATATAAAAACACGCTGCGTATCCGTAAAATGAGACGATCGATGATTCGAGTCCAATTTTTTTCGCGAAAGAACGTTTTCCTCCCACGGTTATAGCGCGCAAGTAAATGTAATTAGAATGGAGAACTCTTCCTCTGTGCCTCAAGTATCCCATCCGTCTCCTCGACATAAACACGACATTCGCGTTCTTCGCCTCTCAATATCCTTCGTGCGAGGTCTTGCCGGCGGCATTTAACAAGAACCGACGACGCCCCGTTCCGTCACGCGATGATTAAAGAGGCGCGCGATTAAACCGGCCGCGAAACGGTCGACGACTGACGAGGGTAATTAATGGAGGTATGATATGAAACGTTAGTGCGGATGAGGGTTTCGACGGGACGTTCCAAACAAACGTGGTGGTCACGCATAACGGCAGTTGCCTGTACGTCCCTCCGGGCATCTTCAAGAGCACATGCAAGATAGACATCACTTGGTTCCCCTTTGACGACCAACACTGTGACATGAAGTTCGGATCCTGGACCTACGACGGCAACCAGGTACACTACTATCTCCACTTACACACCGACACACTCTCAGTACACACCGAGAGCACCAAGATTATATTATCGATCCCTTCAATTCTTCCGAATGAGCTATACGCGCTTTTACTCGAGCGAACCGGAAGCGGAGGGTAAAAGAGGGCTAGGGACCGCGAAATGTGGCTGTACCAAATGCGACCGATGTGGTTACCAAGCGGTGCGACAAAAGGGATGATCGCATTTTCGCATGATTTCCGACGGAAAATTCGTTGTCGGTATTTCATGAATAATGATGCTAATATGTGAAATAAAAATCTACAAAAGTTCTCGGTTATTTATCGGTTCAGATTTTTTGAATGGCAGCAGTTTGTACGAATCAATTTGCGTTTGATGTCACTTTATTACAACTAAAGACATTGATTATTTTTATAATTGTGACAATTGTTTAAATAGTGCAAATTCCATCTAAACATCCAGTGTAAAAAGTAACGAATAAATAAATTTGTTACAATTTACTATAAAATTGTTAATGCTACATTTTTTATTCGAGATTATTAAATTCACACTCGCTACTCTAATTAAAGTTTGCATTAATTTTTATAAATATTCATGCATTTTTCGCGGTGCATATTTTAAAATTAATAAGTAGTTATGAAAAACATTATTAATTTGTCGCCGAAGTCGCAGCGATAAAAACGTGTCCCAATCGTAGCTCACGTTACTTAATTACCGTCCAATTATCAATTACCGGGACGCGTCTCGTTCTCGCTTAACGAGTTCGCGACCAAATTTTCAGCAGAGAAAACTGTCGAGTATATTATCCCATCTGCGCTTCGTCGCCCCTTGGCAAGCGAGCGGAGGATCGCGGAATCCTCTGGCGCTTTATCGGCATCGCAAATGGAGCAAACCACTTTCGGTGTCCGTTCGCCATCAGCACCCTCGCTACCATGAGAAACTCGACCCGCCTCTCACTTCTCATTTCCTGACCCCTGGTCCCAAATTGAGACCAGATAAACCTCATTCCGCGCCCGTGACGGGCACACCACACGCGGCTTCTTCTGTCCGACACAAGACTCACAAGTGCAACACACAATAGCGATGCTCCATAGATAGCCGTTCTCACGCTTCGTAGCTTCAGCTCGGATCTATATACATAATATAGGCATATATATATGATATATAGCATTACATGTTACACCACGTTACGATACACGTATCACACGCACCGACGTATGTGTGAGCTAGATCCGCGACAAGAAAGAAATGAAGTAAAATAGGAAGATCAGGGATATCCAGCACTCCGGAAAAGAACATGGGCGTAATTTCAACCTGCAACAGCATCTTTAGATTTTGCCCTATTTGCATTAAAATTTTCGAAAAATTTTAGAACGCGAATATTTCCGCAATAGTCGAGACAGGAGAAACGTCGCTTTGCGAGCGATCGATTTTGCCGATTTCTATTTCGTTCGCATCGATTTCCGACAACGGAGATTAATTTCGAATGTTTTTCTTGCGACGCGAATTAATTCGAGAACTTATGTGCATTTACTGTTTCGTAAATTCCGTAAACACAATATCCCGGGAGTCGATTAACATGCAGAAATAATACGTACACCTTGAATCATCGGATTCGATCTTGCCCTGTTCAATTATTTCCAAATTGCGGGTAACTTGAGGTGATCCATTATGAGCCATTAATGGAGCGATCTCGACGCAGTATTACCGTAACGCTATTTCCATGCGCCGAACCAACGGTGGTGATTGTTTCTATAATGTCAGAAAGGTTACCTCGCTCGATCGTAGTTACTTTGTCACCCAAGTTACTCGACAATCCAAATCTCGCAAAACGCGCTTATTTTATTTCTCACTGTGACTGAATTCAAAATTCTCTGGAAAAATAATATAAAATTAAAGCACAATATGTATTAATAAATCATATTTTAATAAAAAGACGCAAGGATAATCGTTTCAATCCTGTATGACGTAGTTAAAAAATTAATTCATCTTGTACGTCATTCAATTTTTAAGATGTGAATTTACTTTTAAATATTAATTCTATAACGCAGAACCAAGGCTAAAATTTTGTCAAACTAACTCCAGTCGATTATATCTGAATTGCGGATAACCCGTGGCGGTCACCCTTAATGGAACGATCTCGACGCTCTCGTAGATTGTGTCGTGGATATTTCAACGTGCGTTATCAAAGATAATTACATTTGCAGCGCTAAATAAATTGCCGTTGTCTTTCCCCCAAAGTGCGCAATTTACGATACGTACTTTTCTAGTCGAGATACTTTTGCGTTACACGCTAATTTTCCTTAATTGCTTTTTATAACATTCTCCGCATAATAACCGCGACATTTGCATTTGGATGTTTCCGGTCCGGAGAAAATTACGCCTCAGCAAGAAGAGGGTATTCATCATCGCCTCTTTGTCATAACTTAATCTCTCGTAAGTTTCTCTATTAATTATCAAATTATCAATTATTAAAGTTTTATACAATTTTGATATTAATTCTCCAAAATCTTCGTTTAATTCCACGGCCTGCATAAGTTTCCTAATATTCCCTTAATTTCAAATTTGAAGCTGGCAGTCCGCCAAATGAGGATGATTCAAAGTTTCAGAGATTTGTACAAACAAACATAAATTTTGCATGTTAAACTATTAAATTTACGTCGTTAAATGCCGATAAAGTTTGACGGAATGTAACTTGATTTTGGTACAAACGTCATCGTAAATCCGTGAAACCGTCTCTCACGATTTTACGTCTCTTAGTTATGCGGGTGATAAATTTTGTCGTCGACACAGCAACTATTCCCCGTCGTCGTAATATGTAGAAACCGAGATGTGCATGTTTGTATATATACGCCAGATATTAAGGCGTATATGCGAGGCATCGCATCTAACTCACGACGTCGAGTTTGTCGAGCTCGTTCCCACGGCGCGCAGTTTGCAGGCCGCATATAAACGCCAAATGTTAAATTCATTTTACTTACGACCCGGTTTCGACACTTCGCCACGTCCGTGACAGTTTCCAGCCCTTTGAGACTCTCGCGCAAAGAACTAGACATTATCAAGTGCGAAGCTTGTCAGTTTGTGTCTTGTCATTCGAAGTCATTCCCTGACGCATGGAATTAATGAGAATGAGAATCAATATAATTCGGTATTTTATTTTGCAATTCTGCTTGACTTGAAGAAGGTGTGTTTGTTAATTCATTTATAATGTATTGAATATCGAAGAAATCTTAATTTTTCTAAAAAAGAGTTTTACCTAACACCTGTCTCAATAATAATGTATAAAATCAAATCATTTTTATTTAGAAATTGTTTTATATTTTCCGGAAATATTAATTCAAATGTGGCATATGATGATTGACGACATTTTTATTTTAATATCTATTTGACGACACGAAAGTGAGAAAATTACATGCACACACATATTAATGGTAATATTCTTCCATAAGAAGGTACTGCCTTAGCGTGAAAAATTTTATACCCTGCGACATGTGAAGACCACATTTTTATACACGCGCAAATTTAATATAGACCGTCCGACGTCTTTATTGCGATGTTTTTTACGATCCTGAGCGAGAAGGGACCGAACTTTATGATAACAATTTATCGCGACTCGTACGAGAACTGACATCGCTGAGCCATAAAGCAAACTAAAAATGACAAATCGTGATTTTCCGTTTGTTGCTGATGCATTGTGCCGAATCGTAAAGCTCAGCGAATATTCGTTAACGGTCGAATAACGCACTTATCGCGGCGATAGAATGAGAACAACAAGTGTCGGATACAAAATTTCACAAACGTATCGCCGCGGAAATCTATTAGCGCAATTACTACCGCCGTTATCGTTCGAAAAGGATGTTTTTCATCGATAATGAAATCGCACGCGACTAAATCGATACTAAATCGATCATACATACATACACACGCATGAGCATACATTTCTCTATTTATTTGAAAACTTTTTTATTTGTATTACGAAATATAAATATATCCTCACAAAAATTCTAAGTTATCGAAATCAATAAGTGATATTTTACTATTTTGTGTTTGCGTGTTATATTTCGCGATTTGTCCCGATTTATCGAAGTTACTGACTCTGCAATATTAAAATCATTAAGTGCACACGTTGCGGCTTTGTCGTACGCTTTGATGATAAATAAGGTACACGCTTAAGCATTCTCATAAATTGCGCGTCAAACTATTTCCTCGCTCCTCACTGTCGATAAATTTATAAACACTCCGTCATTCTTCTTTGTCCTCATCGCTTTAATACGCAGCTAACGTCGATAAGACTAAAAAACTAGTATTGCTTTTCAGGCGGGACTATCTCTCTCGGGCAATAAATAATCCTTGCACTTCCGCAACGCGGTCTTATCGATTTCCACTTTGAAAGAAATAGATTCTGTCATTATTTGTCTCAGCGCATATATGAAGTTCCTCGTGTCATTTCGTGCAACACTCATCTGTCCATCTTAATTACGCGAGAATGGTAAAATTTATTAATATTTCAGATATTTCAGAGCATTGTATATTTTTTAGATACTCATAATTAATAGCTTTGCTATGAAATTGAAAAGAATAAAATATTGCATCGCGAACTATTTTAACGATTTACATAATAACGAGTCGCTTTTGATTTGTCAATCGTATAATTTTTGCACTAGTTTCTTTCGTAATAAATATCTTTAGGCACGTAGAGAGACTTTAATCGCTGACTTTTATCTGACGATAACATTTTCTGCGGGTTCCTTAAAACGCGATCGAACTTAACACGATTTGCACAGACAGAGTAATGAATATATCATTTCTCCGATAAATTTCGTTTAAATAATAAATAATCCATCCATTTCTATGTACCGTAGCTCTTTTTCTCCAGCGTCGCGTCGCGTCAGCTCGCGTATAATAAGCGATCGCGAATTCAGTTCGTCGAACTTCGCCGGTCGACCATAAGGCAAGCTCGATAATAATGGAATCTTAATGAGGGATCAATGTCTCTCGAATTA